ACGGCCGTTGCTGCGGTTGGTGGAGGTGGTGGGTGCACCCAAGGGGTTACTCACCGCCTCCTAAGCCAAGCTTTTTTATTATTTTTTTCTGTTCCTCATCCGCCCGCTTCGTCCCATTCAGGTGGTCGTGTGCCCACCCTCCTCCGACCAATCAGGACTTTCTGGAGGTAGTTTATCGTCAAGGCGGTGACGCTCACTTCCATCAGAGGCAGTACATGAGGGCACGGCAGGACGCTCGTTGCCGTAGTCCAATGCAAAAAGTTAATTCATCTGGCTCGTGCTGGTTTTGCTAAGGGCTGTACAGGGGCAGATGTTACACTGCAGGTCTCTCTTCATTTTGGGACCATTGTATCAATTGTGGCCCGGGCGCACAATGGGGAGACAGAGCTCCATCCACCTGGAGAGGGAGAAAGGAAGTCCCCCAGAAGCAGATGGACTGTTCGGAGACGAACGAGATCGACCGTCTGTCTCCCCCGCAACCACAGTCTCTCCCTCTCTCTCGCTCTCTCTTCCCTCCTCTCTCTCACAACGGCTGCATAATGTAGTCCGGAGCAACAATAAGTGACCATACGACACTGAACCTATTTTTGAGTCGGAGAAAAATAGTACACGACACGCGGCGCGGGGCCAATGTTACAGTTATCCCTTCATACTTCTTTTTTTCTCTCCTTGTCGCGTTGCTTTGGTAAATCGGTCGTAAGGGATTACTCTCTCGCGAGTGCGTGACACGCAGTCAGGGTAAACACACATGCGCTGCGTCACGCTATTTTTAAAGTATTACCCCCTCCATGGAGTTCATCAGTCGGTAAATGGCGCATGCGAGGCGGCAGCTCTCCCCAGATCCAGACCAATGCCTCACTTCCTGTGGGGCGCTTCACGTCGTGTTATCGCAGAGGTCATGTCACACAAAAATAATAAGACCTCCGTGACGCCGTCGTGTCCCGACTGTTGTTGAGGGTGGGTCGGGGTGGAGGTGGAGGGGGTGCAAACTCTATGTGCACTGCTAGAGATGGTATGGGCCCCGGTGCTCAAAGATGCCGCCAGCTGCTGTCAAACCGTCTTCATCAGACAAGCTGAGCCTGAGCCAGAGAGGAATCCATTTTCATTTTATTTTTTTTCGACGGGACTCCCACAAACGCCCGTTGTTGTTATGGTAATCAAGCTTCGGCACAATAACGTGTAGAAAGTCCGTTAGGGCTCGTGTGCACATTCCAGTCGCTATACGACCATACACGATTATAATTTCGCGAATAAAGTCAGAGAAAATGTAAAGTGGAAATTCAATCATGAAAAACGAAAGTACGCAGCACAATTTATCACCGTCATCGATTATCGAAGGCTAAACTTCTATGCGTCGTGCCTGCGACTTGTGGGTGTGTGGGTCCTGCATTGAGCGGCCCTTTTGCGACGATACGGCACCCGTCTGCCTGGCTGCGTCCGAATCGGTATATCGATCCCCGTCCCTCCCCCCGTCTCCGTGTAATCTCAGAGTGCTCCATTTTCGGACGTCGCTCAGACGCAGACACAACCCCCTCCGTTGTCTGCCCGCCTTCCTCGTCCCCTCCTTCAGATGACGCGACGCTCAGACAAGCTTCGGTTTGGCGGTGGGCCCCCGTCGGGCATCTCGGGCCCCTGCTCCCTGCAGATGTGCAGCACTTTCATGGTGCCCTACTGGCAAAGCTCAAAACCAAGAAATATTTTAAGCTTCAAAGCAAATGCTTATCTGCAACTAATAGAGCAATCGGTAAAGCATTATCAAACATTTCCTGTCATTGAATATGATTTCTTCCAACTCCGTGGACAGATTGGCAGACGTTGTCTGCTCGTTAGATGCGGCCTCTCTGCTGCCGGCTAATCCTAGCCTGCTGCTAATTTGCTCCAAAGAGAAGGAGAAAGTCCTCCTGGGAGCTGCAGCAGAAAAGTGCGGCGATAGAATGAGTCCAGGTGTGTGAGTGTGTGTGTTGAATGAGTGTTATTTCTGCGATGGTTCATTCTTCGCTAATACGAAAAGCGTCGTCATCGTGTGCACTCGCACTTTCACGAACGACTTGCGCGGGTGATAGTGATTGGTGGGGCAGGCACAGTTCTTCGTTATGGTGACAAGAGTACAGTGGCGGACCCGTGGCGGCCACGTTGGTATATGATCACCGCAAAGATTTCAATGTCCTATTCAGCCTAGTCTTTTCTATATGACCGATTCAAACCAAACCTCGCTCTCTCTCACTCGCAACACAGACACACACACTCACGCAGATGGTGCATTACATACTTCATTATTGCGGTCGCCGATAGCGACTGTGGACGAAACGGAGGAGGGGGATGGGTATGTGTACAACAGAGGTGCCCACACAGTGCAAGAATCCCGCACGCGCACGCACACATACACTTCGCTTATTGACATGACATTTATGTTGACTCTGCCTCCGCCCCACGCCACCGCTCCTCGCTGGCACAACGACGCTCACTGTCACCTTCACTCGCCGTGTTCCAGATTTCGTCCCGCGCCAATGATGCGATGCGTGCCACCGCCAGGGAAAGGGGGAGAGAGAGACAAGCGAGCTCACCAACTCTAACAGGACACTTGGCGAGAGAAGTGAGCTCGCAAGCTCACCTCAGGCCACTCGGAGAGAGAAGCGAGCTCACTGCTGCTGGCTCACCATAAGACACTCAAGACACTCTGTCTCCTGTCCGGCTTTCGCACGTCACAGCAAAGTCGCTGAATTGTGATAAAGTAGGTCCCTGAAACGCGAAAAGAATCTCTGTGTATCCCATCCCATCTTTGTTGCATGCCTTGCTATAACTAAAGATGTGCGAGAGAGAGGGAAAATTTTCGGCGCTTTAGGACGCCGGTCAGGTAAAGAGCCAGCAGCGCCGACACCTTTTCCCCGACGCGTAAGCAAGCCATTATATCTATCCTATCCCATCCGGGGACATAAAGCCCGGGATATTGTTGGTATTGTTCCCGAAGGAAGGCTCCACTGGGCCTCCGGCGGGCCTCCGGGATTTTTCGTGCCCGGCGGGGATTGTGATAGTTTACGACGCAATGGAAACTCGCACCATGTATGTGAATCAGTGTTGAAGCGTGCGTGGCGGCGTCAGAAGCTGAAGGAAAGAGAGGAAGGGAGGGGAGAAGGGGTTGGTCTTTAAACCAAAATGTTCTATGAAATCATTTTCTATCGTTTTAAAACAAAGGGCCCCACCGCATTCCTCGTCGCACTTCTTATTCGACAGTGGGGCGGGCCGCCCCCACCAGCCACCTGCCCCTTGTGTGTCGCGGCGTCCACAATGGGGACGAGATTGTGTGAGAGATACTACACGGGTGACGCATTCCGTCAATGGGCTGTTCACATTTCTGTCACATCCCCGCCACTCACGAGAGAAAGAAAAATGAAATGCGTCCTTTTAAAAGAAAAATACGAGTTCAATCGCCGCGTACTTCAAAGAGCAGCGGGCGGTGTACGACCTAATCGCACACGATGGGAAACGCGGCGGGAAATACAGAAACTCGAGCCGGCAAACGAATAAGATGACACCTAATCGTAAGAAGCAGCAGTTTCGGCATCCGCGCCCGTTTCCCGTTCAAGCTCCCAGCGCCCCGACGTTGTTTACCCTAGAGTGGTAGCTTTGCTTTCGGGAAACAGAGCAACGGCAGCGGCAGAGAAAGGGAAGAGGAGGGATTCCTTTTTAGGGGCGCTTCCTATTTACCCGTGTCGGCACGGAAGCTCAGACCCAGCGCTTCCCCAAACGGATTAACGACACAGGCGCCGTCCGGGCGCCATGCCCTATAAAAAGAAGGAGACGTAAACCAACCAGCCTTGAAGAGGGCACGTTTTTTTCGTTTTACTTCCAATAGAGTGGGAGCAGACTCCTCCAGGATAATGTCATTTTCGGTGTGTAACACACGAATTATTCAGGCTCTGCTGCTGGCTAGTTACAAAAGACGAGATTTTTGAACAAGATCAACGCATATCTATATGAAGATTAAAAAGCTTTGAATCTTTCGCAAATTTCGAAGTAATTGAAAAGAGGGTCGTTTTATAGGACTTTCATACAATTGTATTTGCAGCGCAGCCTAGTTTTTCAAAGGGAAGAAAAGTTTAGCAAAGTTGTTGCAGTATCTTCATTAATTCCGTTTTGCGCGCGCGTAACGGTCTGCGTCGCGTTATTCGGCGACGTCCCGACGTCCGCACGAGTCCAGTTGGAGCGGCGCGCGGAGCTTTTCCCACGGAACAGGACGTATGATAGATGCAGCGAGCGCATTAAACGCCACCTGCGGCCGGCAGGCCACCCCCCTCCCCCTCTCCCCCTTTTCCACCCCAGACACGTCCAGCATTGACAAGCAAAAGGATTCCTAGTTGCGCCGAGTGAAAATTAATGAAGCCGACAATCGCAACAGCATCGCGAGACACAGAGAGAAGAGATGGAAAAAAAGGAGCAACTATTTCTGCGGACATGACGAGTTGCAGTTATTGGTCCGGACACGACACGCCGGGTCGGGTCGGACGGGTCGGTCGGAGAAGCAGAGGCTGCTTTTTGATAGATAAGAAAGAGGAAATCATCGTCTGCTTGCTGCGCGGCGAAATCCGATACTCGACGACGGATCGGCCCAGGACACGACCATTAGGGCAGGAAAATCGGTTGGTTTGGGTGTCCCTGATGAAACGATTTCACCTTTTTTTTGTATTATTATTTTATCCAGACCTTTTTCTAAAAGTGCGGACGGGGACCATGAATGGGGTGGAGGAGGAGGAGCTGCTAGGCCATCAATAAAAGGGGTGCTGCAGCCACGCCTCGGCTCCGCCCCCGGGGACCCGGAGGGACCGGAGCCCCCGAAGGGGCAGGGGCACACCAGACGCGTACGCCCCCGTCTGCTTGACGCGACGCCAACGGATATAGATCCACGCCCCTCGGCTGTGGCTCGGGGCACAAAAAAGTAAAAAAATAACAAAAACAAAATAAATTCCTTTTTACGGATAGGAAAAAGTAAAATGTTTACTCACCGATGATTTGTCTGAAGATGACGGGGCCGACTCTGACCTCTTCAGCACCCCATTTTTGCTGCGACACAAAGGAAAACATAATATAATTTTCAATGTGCCATGTTCTTTCCAAATCCAACTGTATGTAAAGGTAAACGTTGACAGACTTCACAATAAATCTTAAGTCTTGCAGTTCAAACTGCAAAACTAACTGGGTGCACTCCAATGCCTATGTCGCACCTTGCACGGCACTGTATGAAATCAAGGGAACCGGGCGGGAGTGTCCGCGAGAATCCCGGTCCCAGTGAGCCCCCGCCGCCCCGCGCACGCGAACGCCCTACCGGTTGGGGGAGGAGCACCCCCCTCGTCTCTTCCCTCCACGGGTGACATCACGCACGAGTTGTCTCGCACAGAACAGATTACATATGCGGCGCCGTAAATAATAAAAGTAAGGTAAACAGGGTAACATGCGTGGGTTTGCCCGCGGCCGTCGTAAACCGAGTCAAGGTCAATGGTGGTATAAAAGGTTACACGAAAAACTAAATACAAAATAGAAAGCAAATTAAAAGCGACAAACTGGATGCCATTTCAACTGTAAAGAATCGGGCAGCGGCGGCAGCGAATGCCGATAGGCGCCAATTAATGAAAGGGGTGACGCCCATCCTGTTGGTGGTGGATGGGGGTGGAGAGGTGTCGTGGGGGGTGGAGAGGTGTGGTGGGGGGTGGATGGGGTGTAATGGGTGCCTGCAGCGGCGGGCGGCGGCGCGGCGGCAGCGTGCACTATGCGCTAATGCCGCGCACCGACCAACCGACCACCACAGCCTAACCGCGCGCCCCGCCGGGCCCCGCCGAGCCCCGCCACCACGCACTTCCCCCGATCACTTTGAGCAGGAGCGCACGCCCTCCGGGTGCCGCCGACCCTTACCCCCGACCCCCGACCCGACCGGGTGTCAGCCCTAATGGCGGGATGCCGTGCCGGCGGGCGGATACGCCCTGTATCACGTAGGGCCCCGTGCGTTAACATTGTGCACGGGGTAGCTGAGCGAAGTGCATTAACTTTACAGAAGACATACAAAATATAGAACAAAACTATACCGAATGAGGGTCCGCCTAGTAGGTAGGCAACCGGTCGTCTGCTCCTTGAACGTGAGAGATGGGGGGGGG